TGATATAAATGTTTATACAAGATGCTGATGGAAACTAGAGGTGGTCTTGAACCACATGATTATTTTTAAATAAAGCCAAGTTATATAGACTGAAAATCTGCGAAATTTCACTCCATTATATGATAAAATTCACTTTAAAAAAAAGAGCCTCTTGGAGTAGAATTCATTAGTTTGCATTGAAGTCGAAACATTAAAAACAAAAATATATTTAACACGGACCATAACGAACGAATAAACACATAAACAAATTTTTTTATTTTGTGTTATATTATTGTATTAATTGCATTGTTAAAAGTATCAGTTAGCATGAATCGTGTGTTTAAAAAATAAGCAAAGTTCCAGACAACTTAATATTTTAATATCCAAGAATTAACGACGTGGCAATACCACTTTCGTTTTCACACGTTTCATAGCTAAAAACATGTGAATCGATGTAACCATCTGCTCAAAGTGTTATGAAACATTGTTCGTTTGTGGATGTTTCAACAAATATGTCAACACATTCGCTGTCTCTTATACACATCTTATGTGTGTATGTATACATAAAGTAAATAATATACATTATATAGGCCTATATGTATACATATATACATTTTATTTCTTGTAGGCCTATATATAAACATTTATATACATACAGTGTATGTATATATCACAATTTAAATTGTCTTGAAATTTAGATAATATTTGCACTCAGATGCACTTTCACCTGAAGGAGGGGTCAACAATCAGTTGATATCTCAAGACCTTCTGTAGGGTAATGACCCTGATAAGATAATTTGTGCCGTCGACTAAAAGACACGAAATATTTCCATCGGATCGCATACATATTAGTTATATGAATTAGCTTTATTTTATCTTTTTACCTATTTTGTTATCTTAGGCAATGAACGATAAGTATTGCTGTGAATGAAAAACCGACTGTTGTGTTAATTGCTCAGGAATTCATCGTTTACAAGTAGGCCTATATTTTGGTTCTATTCCTATCTGAGTTCACTCAGACGACTAGCTTAGAAATGTTGGTGAGAAATAGTATTTATCGTCCCGCGATAAAAAAAAAATGAATAAAACAGACGAAGTTAGACCTATACAATAGAATATCTGGAAAACCATTACGGTAACATTACGTCAACTCTAGCTGTGGTGAACTTTATAGGCCTATAACTATAAAAGTAATTCATTATTTGTTTACGACTAATGTAGTTAAAACATCGCGTCTCTGTACCACAAAGCCCCACATAGCTAAAGTCTGCGTAATAGTTCGAAACATTTTCGTACTAAATATAGTGAGTATTTGGGATGATTATGTGTCAATTATGCACAATATGTAATGTCTAGATTCTCAGGGAAAAAATAGTCAAGGTTGACCACGAAAAAGGTAAATATTTTATTCCTCAGTGGAATTATAACGAAAAAAAAAATACTTTCAAACAAGTCTAACCTAATTTATAAAGTTTGAAAAACTTTGTAATGTGTCTCATATCGATATGTGCAGATACAATTCTGAATTTAGGAGGCTAAATCTTAGGAATACTTTGAAGAATTTGGTGTAGACAATTTGGCACATGTCTTTATCCTAACACTGGGTTCTTATCTCGACTACATCTAGTGAACATCATCATGATGTGTGGTCTGTTAGCTGTTAATACATCTAAAGATGTAAATCAAGAAAATAACATCTAATAAAATTGTCTCATTAATTTACATTTACAACAAATTATTCACGACAACAATGATCGTGTTTATGTGAATAGCATTCTTAGTCTATGTTGGTTTATGTTACTAATCGAACAGATAGATACAAAAGGTAAGGACATGTAGACCTATTGGACGTTAAGTACCAAAAACGAATAAATAAGCCTGAATACTTATTTTTTTTATAGAAACATCATATTCGATATCATTGCAAAGAACTCTAATGTTGCAAAAAAATTCAAGCTAGTATTTAAATGATGTTAAGTTTGCGACAAAAATTTCATTCACGCCCTATACTAAAAAAAAAATCCCCAGCAATGTATAGAAAGTTCGCTATAGTAAAATCAGTTTCATTTGAGATTGATGTAATTAATTATCATCTTTCAAATCTTCCACTTTTCTATCGTGTTAAATAATAGGCCTAACTAGTAAAATTCTTTTTTGTGCGCTGCTGGAATATTCTTCTATAGATAATGAGTTAGTTAGTTGTTGGTCTTAAGTGAAGTACACCAGAAAGATATTAAGATAAGTAGTTTGAGACAAAAGATGTCCAATTATATTTGCATATATCCATGGAATATGTTAGGCTACCATTGTCAGCTTGCTGTTCCTTTGTGTCGATTTTGGCATATACTCTCAATGATATTTGCATTCCTCAATTGATTTTTTTTCTGGACATTTGCTGTATTTCTGAGTAACACCGATCGAAGCTAAGTCCAAAACCACAATGCCTGTTGTCATTTCTCTTTTGATTGTCCTTTTCGTAAACCAACATTGGCCTTTAATAATGCAATTTCACTCGCTGTATTAGCGGATCTATTGGCAAACATGAAATGAACGATAAAAGAGTGAATATTGGTCTAGGCTGTTCCAATACTGCTTGAGTAAACGAAGACGCGCAAGCGATAGGTCTGATACTTGCCGAAATTCGCAGCACAACATCCAGTACAATAAAAAAAAAATTCGTCATGACAGTGGTCAGTGCGCTAAAAACCTAACCTATTAACGTCAGCGTGGGCTTTTAAATCGTGAACAATATTGGCAATTATTAAACGGTTGAGTGAGATGGTGAGACAGCAATCCGTTGATTGCTCCACTTGCATCTAACAAAATACCCCTATGACCTATTACTTAATAAATGTTATAGCTTCGTATCCTATACTTAGAGCTGACCTTTAAAGTTATTTTTATTAATTATTTACTTTATAATTTGTTCTTTGAACACAATGTTGCTAGTAACTGTAAATGTAACGCATTCATGCAGAGAAATTGTATTATTTTAACAATTAAAATCTTAGTGTTATTATGAAGACGTAATTTCTTCGTAGAAGTTGTCTTTTCAATCTTCAATATCCATCATTCCAAATTATAATGATTAATATTTTTTTATTGTATTACTTCGATTAATCTTAGCGAGTACTTTAAACCACCAACTGTTACTTTCATTTCATTTCATTTCCAAACATTTATCACCTTTTACAATAAAATTATTCCAGACGAAATAAACTCATATTAGATCTTTGAAATTAAATTTTAAAGCGATAATATTTTAAATGCAAAGCATTTGTTTCGTTACTATGGAACTTGGACGGCTCCAAGCTGTAGTGGGCGTGAAGATTTACTTTTATTCGCGGCTTAACACGATCGGCGGCTCAACGGCTCAACTTATTCGCTGCGTGATTTTCTAAAGAAATTCTCGGTTTGTGCCAAGTTTTGCAAATATTAAAAATAATTCCAACTTCTCCATTTGAATATTTAACAATGCGTAATCATTGTTCATCATAATGCATGTGTTCTACGGTATGAAATGGCATTCACATGGTAGGCCTATAATTGTTCAACTGAAAACAAAAACTACTTTACTCCTACAGTATAATGTCAACCTATATATCTGTGTGTGTATAATATAAGGCAATAATGTAAAAGGCCTATGTAAGCCTATATATATATTTTTATTATTTATTTATATTTATATAATATTAAGATTTATTCGGGTTCTCGCGCTTGTAATTTGTTGTTGACGTTGAAATTCCTCAACACTGTAAATGCTGGAGGAGCAAATGCATGTTACACTATATGCCGAAATGTAACTATGTTACACTATATGCCGATAAAAAACTTGAGTCACCCGGACGTTGGGGTCGAAAATATACACGCATAATATGCTAAGATGAATAACCACATAATTAATAATGTGAATTTCAATAATTCAGTGTATCCTTAAAATTTAAACGAACATTGTTTATTGAATATACAATCACTTTACAGATCCCTATTCATAGTTGTCATAATGATTGATTAGACGGCTATGTTGAAATTGCTAAATTGACTTGCCGGCGAGTGTAACAGCAATGATGACATACCGATAATGTAAATAATATGCATCTCTACATCTAGTTTAGTAGCATTTTTTTTTTTTTTTTTTTTTTTTTAACACCAAGAATGGTTTGGTTTTTTTTAACACCAAGAATGATAACACTGTATCTGCTACTGTATCATTAAACAACGAAAGCCTTATACAAAAATAACGAATAATATCTGAATTACGTTTTCTCTGCGATGATAATAATGAATCTGTAATTTTAAAATGCTGATGTAGATCAAACGTCGAAGGATAATGATTACTGTTTTTCCCAATATGTATATAGGCCTATACATAAAATCAGTTCATTTCGACTGTTTGGTATCCTATGTAATATATATGCCTAATATTATAGGCCGACATGTATAGGCCTGTATTGTGCGTATAATTCATTTAATTGAATTTAACAATTATACCGTTTATATTAATTTTTACTTGTATATCTAAATTTTACATGAAAATAGGCCTGGAAATAAAAACCACGACCGTCATTAAAATTGAACTTTAAAATACATTGCCTAACACAATTACATCGACCATTGAATTGGTTGGTAGAAAACAGAGGTATTTATAAATTACGAAATAGCACGTTCGCCTGAAGTAGGGCTTAAACTAGCAGAGAGAAATTCAAAAAGTTACCTGAAATACTCAACCAAAGATTTTATGTTATTAATGATATTTCGTCATAAAGACCATAGTGAAATGGACATTACGTCTAAGTTTTATTTATAGTCGTTGACGAAGTGTAGCTCGCTAAAGCCTCTGCGTGTCCCAGACCTAATGCTTTGATTGACAACCAGCAGAATAGCCTTCGAAAAGGCTTAAATGAGATTGTTGACACTTAATGAAATCGTTTTAATTACTTAAATTCATCAGCGTGTCTTCTTAATTACTCAATAACGTTCACAATTGGTGATTATTCACTGATTTAAATCTATAATAAAAGAGAGCAAAGACTCAGAACGTGTGCTGAGAAGCCTCGCAACTGCCAATGGCGGCACCAAATCAAGATTCGATTGATCTTAAAGAATTCACCTGGTCAGTTTTATTACCATACTTCGGAAGCTGTTTTTCTTAAAACTTTACATGAAGTCAAATATGAGCATACTTTGAAATTGAAAAAAAGTATTGCGTATTGTCATGTTATCATTATCATCATCTGATTAATGGACGTTTGTCACTCAATTGTCACCAAATTAGACCACCTAAGTGACCGGAAACTATCTTAACTCCCTAAGATTTTAACAGATATTCACTTTCCGATTTTTTAAGCATGAAGGAAATAGATACTCGATGACATGAAGTCAGAATATCTGTAAATTTGCAATCACATTAGAGATGAATAACCATTCGGATTAATGTGTATTTTGTTTCTGACCATTTTTTTTTTCTTTGTTAAATGTTCTCAGGTTTGGGTGATTCATGGGGATGTCGTGCTCCTTCATCTCTCGATAAGGTCGCCAAGGAACTTGGATCTCATCTGCTACAGGTTAGTGTAGACTAAAGAGGATTCGGCCTAACCACTACAACCCTCCCCTGGGGGCCACCTAGCAAGCAAAAAGTACTTGTCCTAAATAATGAAATCCAATGACTGAGTAACGCATAGGCCTGATTGATAAAAAAAAAAAAAAAAAAAAAAAAAAAAACACGAATACAGTCCCCCCCCCCCAATTCGAGACCACCTTTGGGACCTGAAAATATGGGGTGGTCTCGCGGTTGGTCTATATTACAGGGCTAAGTTTGTGTTAACAGGTTGAAGATTATTATTTGGGTCTTTGGAGACGTGGTTTCGAATTAGAGGGGTCCCTAATTGGAGGGTGCACTGTAGGCCTACATGAATATGCAACATCGTATGTTATAAGTCGGCCCTAACGAAACTATAAAAAGGTATCTCAGTTATTTGAGTTTTTTTTTAATAGTGTTGTTTTGTGGCGCATTTATTTTGTACTTTTTTATGTTGATTTATACTGAACGGAAAGTTGTCAGTCGCCCGCATTGTGGGAAAATTTTGTGTTTATGGTGGAAAATATGAAAGATTTAGGCTAGTAATACTATATATGAATAATAAAAAGCAGTACATTATCCATGTTTCACAAGACATTAAGATTTTTATGATTGATAGTAGATGGCTAGACAGATATTATGGATAGATAAAGACATATAAACGTAGTCGTTGAACATGTTTCACGACTTTAAGAGTACATTCGCATTCTACGTCTTGGAGACACTGACTGGATCTAGAGGGAAAAACGCGCCAAGAGAAAAAGACTGTACCGCGTTTCCCCTCACTCAACCGTAAACGGCACGTCGAGGTATGAAAATAGACACAGTGTAGATTTTCTTTGACAAGCTTTCCAAGGCCTGGTTTAATACAGGAAGTTTTGTTCATACCAACAGTTGTATTAAAATGTTATCTGCCTGTAATAGGTCTTTAAACTAGTAAGGTTTCCGTGATCAGTTTGAAATTGTCACGTATTTAGTTGAGAATATTCTGGGTCAGAAAAGTGCCAAATCATTGCCTAGTAGGCTATGAACGAACGCTAAACAATAACACAGAATATTATAGTCAAATATTTGCCAGCGGTATTATTATGACGCTTATCATAGAACGTAATTTCTATATTAACGATATCTAATATGTGGTTGTTTAAAAAACTTCGAATTGGAATTCGTTGATATAGGCCTAGGCCTACGTACATTTATTAACATTACCCACTATGACGTTATCACATGAAGGGTGCAATCGCTCTGATTCTATTCGTCTCGTATAATAATTTTTAGTATATAAGTTTTTATTAGCTTTTAATCGTAAAATATTTTTCTAAATATAGGTACGATGCACATAATGCACCATTCGATATTTTGCACATAGAACCTTAAATTCGTTGGTATGGTCACGAATTTTCAATAAAAAATCTTTAAATCGGCAAAATCTAAAAAGGTTTGATTTGTTTCATTAAATTAGCAATTTTAAGATTTAAATTAATGTTATTATTCGAACACAGTTTTATTAATTAGTTGATTAGTGTTTGTATTCCCTTTAAATGTTTTAGTAAAAATGAACCTTTATTTGGTCTATTACTCTCTTAATGTGAAAGAGGGAATTTTCACTCGAGAAGAGTGCCTACAGGGACCACTCCAATTTCACTCTTTCTAAAGTGAAAATTCACTCTTAAATGAGTGAATATTATTCTTAAAATAGTGGAAAATTACTAAAATTCACTCTGAATATTATTATTACTTATTCCAACAATAACATGAAGCGCCACTGATAATTACTTCGGTTTTTTAAATGGCGCTATATAAGTTCTTACTTTATTATTATTATTATTGAATAGAGTAAAATCTCACTCTTTTTATTTCATTTTTCACTCGTTTGCCTTTAGAGAGTAGTTCTAGCTCTGCATTAACTTGCTATAAATACCTTTAAAAACATTATTTTATTTTATTTTATTTACTTATTTTTTTTTTCTTTTTTCCCCGAGTTGAAATGCATTTCCTAATATGACTGCAACTTTGTATTATTATAATACGGTACTGTAAGACTACCGTACCACATAGGCCTACATGCCATGCTGATAAGTTTTACTTTGTATAGCCTATACATTTTTAGTTTAATTTACTTCTAGTTTAAGATTATTTTTCTTATATTTGGATGCACCGTTGGGTATTGTCCAACGTGTGCCACTGTTACGAAAGTGATATCCATTAAATTGAAATTGAAATAAAATTCATTTTTTTTATTTTTGTATTTCCATTTTTTTTTAATCACTGCCAAAAACAGAAAAAAAAAGGAAAGAAATTCAAAAGTTGGCAAATTTTACAGTATTTTCGCCAAGCAATATTATTTTTGAATTATGAATGTGGATTAGTATTAACATAGTCATTAATATTTCAGTTATTATTTAAGTGATGCTTATTAACATTTTTAGTTCCGGTATTATCTTTACTTTTTGAAAATTTTATTTATCATTAGATAGATAAGGTCAAATAGAGTAAAACAATTATACAACGTACAATATAAAAAATGATCATTATAGGAATTACAATTGGGTTGAGTTTTTTTCTCCTTATTGTCGATAAATATGATGTGTATTTTTATTTGCAGACACTTGACGGGTTTATTTTTGTGGTCGCTCCTGATGGAAAGATGATTTACATATCTGAAACGGCATCCGTTCATCTTGGATTGTCTCAGGTAATGATATTATTTCGATATTTCAAAGTAGCCTCTTTCACGACTGGAGTCACAGAGATTTTGGTACACGTGAATTCGCCCCACACCCACCACCTTAAAAAATGAACCTAAATCTATAGTGAATTCGGTCCCAATTGCTAAATTCAGGAAAGACAACGGCCTCTCTCTTAAATCAGCTTGAAAACGGCCAAACTATGAACTTTTCAAAGAGGACAAATTCAATAGGGAATCAAAATCTCTTCGTCACCGGCAGTTTACACACCTGCCTACTTAACAAACGCTTATATAACTCGCAGATCAATTAGAAAATGCCATGTTTTTGTTAAACTTGTTTTTGTTTTTATTATCGTTATTTATTATCTTCCTCATCATAAAGATATTATCATTTTTTCTACCAGGTGGAGTTAACTGGAAACAGTATTTATGAATATATTCATCCGGCTGATCATGATGAAATGACCGCGCTTTTGACGGTACAACAGCCCTACCATGCCCACGTACTCTCTGATTTCGAAATCGAACGAACTTTCTTTCTCAGAATGAAATGTGTTTTAGCTAAGCGAAACGCGGGTCTGACGTCAGCTGGGTATAAGGTAACCTTTCTTTAAAATCCCTTATATATTTTAACCATTTTAAGATCTATAAAAATAATTTAAATTTAATGGTTTTTTAAAGTAGAATATTAATTGAATGTGCAATATGCTATAAGTCGTTTCTAAATTGTTATTAGCAGACGCGGATTCAAGAGGATCCAGTCATACTTTACACAGAGCTCTGACTTTACACTGTACACAACGCCCTCTAGAATAGATAAAAATGTGTAATGTTCTTCATTACTTTTTAAGGTTATCCATTGCTTTGGTTATCTGAAAATAAAGCAATATACCATGGATATGGCGCCATTTGACGGTTGTTATCAAAATGTGGGTCTGATAGCCGTTGGACACTCTTTACCGTCAAGCTCGATTTTCGATTAAATATAATGACAATCAAAAGATCACGAAAAACCTAAGCTGGCCCTCAAAGTGCGGAAGAACAGCACACTGACTCTTCCCTAACGGCACTTGGTCTCGCACCCACTTCACTTGCTTGCTTCACTTTCATTGGTCTTCTTTATTGGCGCATAGAGACTGCTGTATTATGCGCCTTATAAATCAAATGATTGATTGATTGATTGATTGATTGATTGAAAGAACAACACTGTTCTTCAAGTGAGTCACAGATAAAGCAGAATCAGTTTTTAATAATTTATAGATGTTAAAAGTACGAAAATAATTAAATTTGCTGCTAAAAAATGTAAGATATGTCAGAAATATTCAATTTGTTTAATTTTCAATTCAAACGTGATTTATACAAATATATATATATATATATATATATATATATATATATATATATAGCCCTATATACACACTAATAAATCAATCAATCAATATTCCAATATCTATTATTATTACACATTTTATCTATCAATCCATATAGGGCCACCTATCAATCATTCAATGAACCAAAATTAATCAATCACCCCGCCAAAATTAACGAACAAATTAATTCATCCATAAATCAATCATTCTATAAATCATTAAACCGATTAATCAATCAAATAATCATTCATCAATCAATATATCTATGACATTTATTATTATTATTATTATTATCAATTAATTAATAATTCATCAATATGTCTCAATCAATCATATTACAAATCGATTCTTTCAACTTATAGGGTTGCCGCATTAACTGGGTACGAGCCTCAGGATCTTATAGAAAAAACACTTTACCATTATGTACACGCCCTCGATGTTCTCCACTTGAGATATGCACATCATATACGTGAGTACAGGATTCTCTGCAGATGATGATAATTGATGACGACGACGATGATGATGATGATGATGATGATGATGATGATGGTGATGATGATGATGATGATAATGATGAAGGTGATGATTATGACGGTGGTAGGTGGTTGTGATGGTAATAATAGTGGTGATAATTTTGTTGATGGTAATGATGATGATGATGGTGACGATGATAATTATATTAACTGGTTTTTTTTTAAACATCACTTTTTTTTAGTATTACTTAAAGGCCAAGTTACAACGCGGTACTATCGTTTCTTGTGTAAACAAGGAGGATGGGTTTGGATCCAGAGTGCTGCCACCATCGTTCATAATAGCAGATCATCAAGGCCTCATTGCATAGTTAGCGTCAACACAGTTCTCTCGTAAGTTTTAAAACATTAGGCCTATATTCAAAGTTTAATTTAAGTGTTCTGCATAAACAGAATACACAACATTGTTTAAAAATACTATTCATTATAATGAATTAAAGTAATATGTTACATAGTTTACATAATTAAAAAAAAAATTATTGTATTTAATGTTTATTTTGATTAATATCAACTACTCCATCATCGTGTTTATTTTCTTTTTTTCGATTCAGAAGTACGGAAGAAAAAGCTAAAGCATTTCACCTTGATCAACTGGAGGCCCAAACAGAAGCAGCTTATCCTGAGACCAGCGAAAAATCACGAGCTGGAAAGTTACGGCAAAATCGTTCAAAACTTCGATCTAAATCCTCCCCTTATTCTGTTGCAACACAGCCATTTGTTTATGCTGAAGCTCTTAGTAGTGAATATGCGCAAGATCGTTTGTATGGACATTACGCAGCCTGTGAGGGTGCTTTCCAAGTTCCCCCTTACGTAGCAGCTCAATACAGTGATAGCTATACGGCGGTCTACCCTGGTACTCTTGCCAGTTATCAAGCGAACTTGTATTCTGATGGTGCATATGCATACGCGGGATCATACCCGTACGCGAGTACAGGTGCGTTCGCGCATTATGCAAACGAGAGATCACATCTTACCGCGTACACAGCAGACGATAGATATTATACAAGTGATCTCTATAATCACTCTCACTGGAGTCGTGACTCGCACTCGAGCCATGATCGGTACTCTGCTAAAGCTAGTCAATCACATACACTTGCACAAACTTCTGATCAATCAGGAAGTAGGACTTCTCATACGTCAGCTGCTTCTTCACCAAGAGGTTACAGCCATCCTCACTCAACGAAAGAAGCAACAAGTAGAAATGTCAATAGTGTATCTACTCTTTCTGAAAATACTCGGCAACAAAGCCAATCGCATACGTATCAAGTGCCAAACGGCACAAGTACTGCTGCACAGGTATCACCTCAAAGACTTCAAAATGGCGTTATAACGAACACAAATACCAAATTTGAAACACTTGTGAAAGCTACGCAACAGCTTTCCACTGGAGATGAGAGGAGAACCTGTCAGAAAAGTTCACCTCCACCTCGATCCGGTCAAGTTGTGCCGGACACGCCACGTCCAAACACCTCATCTCCAGCTCAAAACTCGTATTATCCGTCAGCAAAAACTGCCTCTTCCAATCTGGTAGAAACTCCGAGTCTAAATCGAAGACATTCATCAGGATCCTACGACAGTGCAACAGGTCAAAATTCTCCGTATGCTATAAATTCCTCTAGCAAGGAAAGGAGCCAAACCACAAATTCAAACAACACACAATATAGTCGCAGTCAAGTGTCGCATGAATCATTAAGACCTTCGCAGAGAACCGATATCAGTATTTATCCTACACCCACCTCCTCTTATGTAACATCCTACAGTCCATACAACGGGACATCACCCGATTGTGCTGTCGTAGGACAGACGGTGACAGCGGAAAACGAAACGTCCAGTCGCTACTTGAACAATAACGGTGCAATATATAACAAACGAATTGGATGGTACGGTAGTAATACATGCCAATCAAGAGAGTCTATGGTGAATGGTTATGTGTATTGAGCACAGACATCATTCGTATTAAAAGTCTCTATAGTTTTCAATTTACAGGCCTCTACAAGACTATTACCTTCCAAGGAGGTCTATCCATTGTCAATACGATTTGGACTAATGGCGTTACATTGTGTCATCCAGAAAAAATAGAACGTTATTACAAAATTCCAACATTGTGAACGTTGTGGTTAAGTTATATCAGAAAATAACGTTAAGAAAACGTTGCAGCTGCATTTGCTACGTTTATTCATGGTTCTACAAAAAATGGTCTGTACACCAACCTGCAATGCTACCGTACTATAACGCAAAATTGTTAGCTGGGATGGTGGTCTGAAAGAACATATTTCAAATTTACGGGTTGTACTTGCATTGTACCACAATGTCAACTTTTAAAGTAGGAATAAATTAATGGAAAGTTATTTTTCGGATCGAAATTCGATGAATTTTAACAATCCAGTTACCTTGAACAACTCTGTATATTTACGTTAGATAATGTTTACACGCTGAAACCTGTGTTAATAAAGACATTTAATAGTACAAATTAATCTTGTTTATAGTTTACAGTTACGATTTCAACATTTATTGAACAATGACAACTTGGATTGGTCAGATTTAATGTACCTAGCCGGAAAGAGTTAAGATTTCTTTAAATTGGTTATCCATACATATTTTATGTACTAAACTTTCAGTAATAATCAACAAAATACTTTCCTTTAAGAGATCAGCTCTCCAAAACGATGTCAATTTCTGATAATTTATTCGCCTTAAGTAAAGGGAAAATATCCATTTCCTTTAAACATATGCCTAATTATCGTTTGATTCCATGCCTTCCTGCCATACGTAAATTTCTCAATGTTGTTTAACACTCCTACTTCTTCGTTTTAAGTTATATAAATTAGATTATGTAATCACTTGCCACATTGAAATTGAATGACTATAACATTGATTTAAAAGTACTACTCAAGAAAAGGGTTAACCAATGCAATACCTTTAACATTAACGTCATTTAATATTATCGAAGATAAGATTCTGTTTCTCAGAAAGCCACCAGAACACCTTGCAATTATTCAAGTATTAAAAGGTCGTCAAGCTGCTACTAATATTTAAATATAACCTAAATAAAATTAACAAACTTAAGATTTTGGACTTTCCCAATTGTCGCGACTGTGTATGCAGCTCTAGCACTAGAACACCTTGTAATAAGCCAGGTAGGCCTATTAAGAAGTCGTCAAGTCACTACTTATACTTAAATATAACTTAAATAAAATAAAATAAACAAATTTAAAGACAGAAAAACAACTTCAATTTAGCATACATTTCATAGTGGAGGCTTATCACCTTCAATCGAAGATGATGCAAACCTGAATAATCTTAAATTTTCAAATTTTGACGATAAAATAACGACGTATTGTAGTTAGAGTAGCGTTAAATATAACTTTTATGTTGAGAAATACTTTGACAAAATAACCAAACGAAAGCGAATTGAACTTTAACAATCCTAAACCCGATTTTTTTGCCGTCATTGCCGAGCAACAAATTTACAATAATAATTCAACAATTGGTATATTGGATTCTGAACATCATGGCTCAACGATAGGTTTTTGTTTCAGTGGTTTTATGCCAAATGGAGTGTGTATTTATGAGCCAAGCTCATTCTTCGTTGTATTATATCTCGCATAATTTAGATTTGTGACTGTTTATCTTTGTATTAATTTGTTGTTAATGTGGTTCATACGTTAATAAAATGGTTGCATGTCATTGTTCATACTTAACTGAAATAGAAATAGAATAAAGTCTGATAAAATATAATACCTCACTGTATTTTCTGTTGTATCACCTTCAGTCAACCCACCTACTCCAGAAAAACTTCTTCAAAACCTGTTGTAATATATGGAAGTTAGAAAGTGTAAACCTACAATGAAAATCAATGCAAACGTTATAAAAGAATATTTTAAAAAATACTAATACATATGTACATGTGTTTATCCCACTGGATCATATCAAAACAAAGCGCCAATAATAATAATAATAATAATAATAATAATAATAATAATAATAATAATAATAATAATAATAATAGTAATAATAAAAGAAACATATTACTGCGTTATCCAAAAACATAACAACTTCATTGCAGCAACTTTACCAAACTGAGCACGACTGAATAAGATGTGATTTTAACAGTAAGCTATTGATGTTGACTTCACTATTGAAACAATGTATGATTCATAGAGCTTGTCATTGGCTTTACAAATATAATTATTTCTATTTACATTTCAATCATATCTCGGGGACTTACTAAACACCTGAGTACTATCATTAATAACAGATTGGAATGGTTTAATCAACAGGATTTGAAATTGATGATGCATAAAGGTATTATTAGAGGTTAGGGTTTGACAACTCAATCAACTACTACGTTGGCCTATAAGCTATAGGCTTATAGATTTCCTTCAACTTGTAATGGGCTTGATGTGATCCCACTGGGACAGAGTCTTAATTACACGAAAAGTCACCAATTGTCTGGTAATACCCGCAGGAATGCTAATGATCTACATACACATTTAGCAACTTCTATTCAAAAATGAAAAAAATAGTTTTTAGCAAAATTAGTTGAGTACCTAGAATTAACTATTGATATTACAATAATAAAGTACTCAAAGCTAACTTAATCAGCTTTAGATCATATTGTTCACAATTCAGTTTCAATTACAATGTTTAATAGATAGATTTATAGCCATCAAACCAACTTCACACCTAGAGACAATGAGGCTTTAAGAGATGTTGTTGCTCAAAACATCAAAATACAGTATTAGCAGCTTGCAAGTTTGGGTTGCTAGGAAATAAGATTTTCCGACATCATTGATTTGATCAACACATCAATCAGCTGTCATAGATGTGTATAAGAGCGAACAGCTACCAGAGAGCTAGGTCTGTATGTACAACACATGCACAGATCTAACCCTCATAATATGGATGGTGCGTAGCTAACAGCGAATTTGCTAACACATTTTACGTGCGTTTATATGATGACGAGGTCGCGAGATCAATCTAAACAATGTATCAACTTAATAAAAGAATTGCAAATTATTATTGTACTCGGCACTTGAATTACCATACACAATGTTATACATTTAAGTCGATACTTAACAAAACATTCCAATACGACATGACTTGCCAATTACTTTAACTTGATCTTATTTTACTTACGAACCATTCACTCATATCAATGTTTTCACGGACTAGCCGGCTTTCTAATTACATTTCACTTTCCTCTAATACAAGCTAAATGATGAAGGCAGGCTGCCGAGGAAGAAAGATTAAATAATTTCCCTTCCAAAATATTTCTCTTGCACGGTAATCATTTCTATTAACGATGCATCATGTCTCTTTAAAAATCCATTTTGTTTTATGGAACTAAATATGCGTCAATAACTTCAGATTTCCTTATATAGACTGTTTTGACAAACAAAATAATTGCAACAAAAACCTGTATTTTATTAAGTTTTTAGGAGATATAGGTTGATGAAGAACGTATGAATTCTTGCAATGATTTACATTTTATTGATTTTCCGAGTTCAATCGTGCTTAATTAGAACAAGATATTAGTATTTTTGAAGTTAAAAAATACGTAATTTAGAACAACGGTACATGGAGAACGATCAAAACCTGGTTAAAATTGCGCGGAAAGTTTCCTTTTAGCGACCTCTTTCCTGTTTCGTCTTTATTACCGAGACATCTTTGCTTAATTTCATATTTACTGTGTATGTACTGTTGTCTGGAGTGACAAAAGTATGCTAACAACAACAACAATCTATGGCTTTATCGAATATATTACAAGTATATATATTGCCACCTGGGCGATTCAATCGGACCTTCGATCAGTATCGCATGCTTATTATGGTTTTATACAAACGTGGACTACAATACACAGATTAGTCTGTAAATAAGTAATATTCATGTGTGTATATTTTGCTTTAAATACTGGACATAGGCAGAAATCAGCAGGTTGGGCTAGAAAAGTCCTGATGGAAACAAATACTATTTTATCAAAAAATAAATGATGTAGGTCTAAAACAAGTCGGGTAACGAGTGTGCTTTCTGCATGGTGAATATTTTTTAAGTGATAATACAACTTTAGCGTTTTTCCGTCGATGTCTGGACGTCTTTTAACTGGTGCTTACCATACAACGTCACTGCTTATTTGATAGTAAAATACTGCCGAACTGTACACATTGAGCAAAAATTAATTCAGCACCCAATCAGTGGAGAATGGATGTTTTATCTTTGATCACATTTGCCCATTAAAACTGCAAGATTGTGAGCTATAAATACAAAATTACCGACAACAAATTCACCTTTAGAATTATGATAAGAGAAAATAGAGCATCACATAATAAATAAGACTGCTTAGTCAGCAGAGTGAATGTAACAGACCAATATGACAAGACCAATTTTCCTTTGTATGAAATTTTACTCGCATTTATTCAAAATTGTACACTGGGTTTCTCTGGAATGGTGCTCAGTAAACCTCAAACCTCACAATTATATAGAACTTGTATAAATTCTTCTTTCTACATATATACAGTATCCATATGTTCTTATATTCTATAGTCCACATTTGGAATGATCTTTGTGTAAGTTGGACACCTGACCTCTCAAAGACATACATTTACACTTCAAGATCACCCAATAAAAATTCAAGAAAGTGCTTGCTTAGGGAGAGCAGTTTAGTTCAGCCAGCAAAACTAGTGGTAGTCACTGTGTGTGCTGAACTGTTATATCCTTTCAGCTATCTTTGATCCCTGGTGCACTTCCAATTGATTTTCAGCTGGAGGGCTGATATTTCGGATAAAGCATTGAAACCTTTGGACGAGTGTGAAATTTGGCAATGTGCATGTTGAAGAATGCAGTACTGTACATGTACACTCTTCATAAAGGAGTAGGGGATTGCCTTCCAGCATGCTTAATGGGTTAAGTTACCTTGGTGTGCTTCACACCCAAAAATATTCCTATCCTATCCTATGAATCAACAGTTTGTACACAATGGATGACTGATATAAAATATCGACACTTTTATACTGTACACTGAATAACAGTGAAACAATAAACAAAGCAAGTGAGTGGAAGGAAGAGGGGCAAAGAGAGGAGAGGAAGAGTTGAATAGGAAGGAAAGGGTTGTAACACTTGGCATTAAGTTATATTTTTTTTAAATATGGGACTAATACTGCATTAAATTTTACATCAACTTTAAACATGTTTAGTATATTGCACCTTATGAGTAAAAACCTTATTGAAACACAGAGTTCTATTGTCTGACAATAGAATTCAATGTTATCTTTGCTTTATGAGCCATTATGGGATATTAGTATAATTACAGTAAAAATGTTGGCAATACTTAACTACAAATACAAATAATGCTTAAATTTAAATCATCAAAATTTCAGCATTGATGGAATGTGTAGCAGGTAGTACTAATATTAAGTTGTCCTAGTAGGAATAATAACATTAGTCACTACTGGTTCCAACAACTTGGGCCTTTATTTGGATAACATCATGTGCAGCCAAGACTTCACTATAGAGTATAGTATAATCCTTGCTATTAGGAAATGATAAAGTCTTCAAAAAAAACTTCTTAAGCTTTTCTAACATCTGCAAGAGAACATGAAAAAGACATGAGTACCTAGAATTAACTATTGATATTACAATAATAAAGTACTCAAAGCTAACTTAATCAGCTTTAGATCATATTGTTCACAATTCAGTTTCAATTACAATGTTTAATAGATAGATTTATAGCCATCAAACCAACTTCACACCTAGAGACAATGAGGCTTTAAGAGATGTTGTTGCTCAAAACATCAAAATACAGTATTAGCAGCTTGCAAGTTTGGGTTGCTAGGAAATAAGATTTTCCGACATCATTGATTTGATCAACACATCAATCAGCTGTCATCTTAACAGATGTAATATCATTACTTATTCTTTTTAAATGTAAACATAATCACTGACAAGCAGATGAATACAATAAAAAGTGAAGGTATATCAGTGGCATACCCAGAGAGGGTGCTCAGGGTACCTGGAGCACCCCCATCTTGTTAAAACGTGAACAAATTATAGTAAAATAATGGAAGTAAATGATAAAATAAGTTGCGTTTAGAAATTAACAAGCATTAATTTGTCCGTTATCTGAACAAAGTTCTTGTTATACTTCACATCTACTGGTCCAACTTAATGTATTATTCTTTCATATTAACTAGAATTTAATACTACTCAGCACCCATCTTTTCGAATTTCCTACCACCACTTTTTTCACATAATTTCTTATAGTATTGATGAAATAAACTACTTATGTAAATAATAAAAAACATAATAAAAATAAGAAAACCTATTTACTAAATGTAAAATAAACACTTTAAACTACTGTTTAAAAGAAATTGAAAACAATATTAAAAAGTAGATATTGAAATTAACATTTGCATGGTTAAACATATGTTAATTTTATATCAAACCACTTAATAAATGATAATTGTTGATAATTAAAGGAAAAAATTGAAAGCTAACAAATATATTTCTCAGAATTCAGACAGCATTTCAAATTTGTTAATAGAACATGATAGAACATTTGTAAAAAATGCAAGAACTATGTTTTCATGATTATGGCTCTACAGAATGTCAAGGTTTTACAGTTTAATTTGATTTTTTTACGAGAAATATTTTAAAAGTCAAGGAATATAGAAACATTTTTTTAATGATTTGAAGAGTTAAGCCGGAAAGCTCAAGTGCAGTAAGTTCCCAGAGGCACCGACCTCACAAACATTTTGCTGACTCAGGTTAGGATGGAAAACCATCTTAATATTTTATTTCAAAAATAGCATAAAATGTCTATCAATGGACGCCATGGTTACTGTGTTAAAGGTTAATGTGCTCGGTGGCGGAAGGTGATTCACGCCATGTAGTTGATGGACATGCTGTCTAACTATAGAGGGTGCTGTTTATACATTTAAAAGCAACTTTGTAAATAACACCTCCGCTAGTAATAATGGACCTTTCCGCTAAGCCACGCCCCTTGGATATTGTTGCTAAGGTTCCACAAAATGACAGTGTTAAAACATATGCGAACATGTGCATTTTTGGGAAAAGTGTGCTTACTAGACATATGCATATACATGGTGTACTCCTGGCGCTGTTCTCATTGGTCAGTTGCTAAGTTTGATTGACACTATGGAAAGGTCCATTAAAGGCGATTAAAATCCTTCCATCATAATGGAAAAGACCTAGTAACTGTCCACCTTCCCACACCCAACTCAGCCTGCTATCAGCAGTCTAGGTCCTGTAAAAGGATGCTTAAGTCGTGACCTACCTGAATTCAGGGTCTTGCCTTTGTCACTATCAGATTCTTCATCATATCAAAGCTGTTGCCATCAGGTTGGACACTGACCACTTGACCACACTGGTCCTTGACTGCAAGGAATCCCATGTCATCTAGCCCAACAACCTCAACCTCTGGACCATCATCATTCTCCAAATGCACTTTCATCCCGCTAAAAATTTATTATAAAAATAAGTGTTAGCTTGTTATTAGGTTTTACCTACAGAGAATAAGGTGATGAGATTTCCATAATATTCAGCATAGAGAATAGCATTATAAAAGTTAAACTTGCCTATGCCGACTGTGCCTAAGTCAAATAATATCTAAGTCGCTCTTATTTTATATGCCAAATTGTTGTGTTTTCCATTAATTAACAATCTATAAGTCAAATTTTATCTAAGTTGAACAATATTTCAATAGCATTTTGGGTTTGACTTTTGCAAGTTCAACTGTAGCCCACGTGCAGGGACTTGCAATCATTGTATCTTTACCTCAGGCAGTGGCTTAACAGAGGGTCTGGCTAGGCCTCTTTCAGGGCTTTTTTAAGGGTGTGTTTTGATTGATTTCTACATCATTCTCCTGAAAGAGCCCCGCAACCACAGCACAAAATTTGTGGCCGTGGTTTTAGAGAGGATCTTTTGTCATGCCAAAAAACATGGTGATTAATATCACACGGTCTTTTAAGATCTGGGGCTTCCGGTTTAGACAGTGACCGCTCATAGTTGTTACGCCACTGAACTGAGGAGAGACTATGTACCTGTGTAGCCATTGTTTGTAGTAGCCAGGTAGAAAGGATTCCTTTCCAAACATCTGGAAATCCTCAATGATTTTTTCCATATATGTTAGTGTCCTAGCAATGAGTAGCTCTCGGGTCAAAGGTAGCAAACTGGTTCCATGCTCCTGGTTGTGTCTTGATACGAGATCATTGATGCATATCGTAGGGTCACTGTTGCTAACGTTAAAGCCACATCCTAAAAAAATAATAATCTTAACATGGAAGATTTGTCACTAATATTTTACTCAACTTCACCCATTCCCATCACCACTATATTTATAATGGTAATCTTAATCTCTTCCAACATTATTATTCGGTCAACAGTTAATATATTTAATCAGCACCATATGAAAAAAAAAAAAGTGTTGCTCAAGTTCCATTGAATAAAAATTATGGAAAATCTTCGTCAGATTGTTTATGGCATCAGTTTTAAGTCATTATCTGAATATGCTTGGTTCTGACACTTCAACCAATAGCAAGAGAGTCTTAAACCAGAATCAATATTAAAACTATACATTGCGGCATGGATCTTACAAAACAGACTAATACTCTGCCATAAACTGTTATCTCATTACTAACCTATGATTGCATGAAACTGTTTCTCCCAGCAGCATGAGTTGACAATCACTCCACCTAGCTTCATCTTGTTACCAAAATAAATATCATTTGGCCATTTCAGACGCAAGTCAATATTCTACAAGTAAATATCAATAAAAAAAAAGGGTGTTTCCTGTTTTATATTATTATTACATATTTGTTTCATTCATATGTTAATGATAGATATTTTCACAATTAATAAAGTACCAAAGGAATTCAAAAACATCCCAGTTGCCAAAACGTGATTTAAAAATTAAACTGATTTTAATATTGACAAGGCAATGTTTTTTGGCTTCTACATGTTGAAGGTGTAGTTGTTGAAATATTGTGTATCCTTGTAACATCAATTTGTATCCATTTAAAATATCGCTGATTGGCAGGCTCAATTTTGTTAGTACTGTAACTAGTAATTAATACAATTATTAAGTTAGTGATTACTACCTCATATCCAATCAGAGACCTTACAGCTTCAACCACTGCACTTGATGCAATATGCTGCAAATAGGGAAGACGCTGCCCTAGGTGGGAATGGATTGGAATACGCACATGCGACGAAAACATTGCACAACCCCTCGGAGAAATCCACTTATTTCCACCTCTTCCTGCAGATAAAATATAATTTTATATAGACATCTGTAGGGTTAGCTCATAATTATATGATGAAAGTGCTGATGATCAAAGAGAATGATTACTTGATTTTGACTATGACTATGATGATGATATAATTGCATCATTTATTTTTGAATATGATTATGATGATCAAAATAATGATGTTGATGATGAAGATGATGATAATGAAGATGATGACAATGAAGATGATGTAATGATGAAGATGACAATGAAGATGACTATGATAATCATCACACTTAAAAGCATCTGGATTGCTAACTCATGAACAAAAATATTTACTAATTCAAATATTAAAAGCATTTAACAATACAGTACCTTTCCCTTGCGTCATTTTTGTAGCTATGGCAACTGTTCCTATATTATTATCAACATGGAACATAAACCTGAAATATTTAACAGACAATAGTTGTATTGTAGTAACATTTTAAAGGCTTAAACCTAAAATAATTGTTAAAGATATTTTTGTTATAGTTTTTAAACTATTAAAAATTCTTTGATCAATATACATGACAAAAATTTGCGTTGTATAATTGCTATTATTTTTTATGTTCTAAAATTTTAGCAAAAATTATCTTTAAAACATTGTTTTTAAGGTTAGACCATTCGAAACAAATAGGATCTTTACCCTTGTATTCAACCCAAGAAAAGAAAAGGAAAGGACATTTTCTTTAGAATGATTTGAATGATATATTCTAAAATTTAGTATTAAGGTTTGAATTATTTTCATCTTATTTTACACTATATGAAGGTGTTCTACCCTCAACGCTCTGTTATTGTGGAAGCCAAGTGGCTTCTGATTTTCTAACGTAAGTCAATGACAAAACTTAAAATATTTTTCATATCTCACCCTTCAAAAAGACTCATCGTTGTGGGAACAACTTCTGAATATAAAACAACGTTTCCCAACACTTTGGTGTGTAAATGGCTCCAATACGCATCCATGTCAAAGGTTGTAGCATTGGAAACTTCAGTAGTGATGACAGGAATGCATTCTGGATCTGGTTCTTGATCAGAAGGGAAATCTTTGACAAATTGTAAATTGGTTAGCCTGGATTTTAACAAGCCTTCTCTCAACTGGCCCTCGATCGAGTTTAGGAAACTCTTTTTGGTTCTCTAAATAAACAAATAAAAATAATAATTCAATATCATAAAGCTAACAGATCTTGGGGCAACCTATGGGCGTAGAGGTGTTAGCTACCAGAGCCCACTAGGGTAAAGTAAAGAAGCCCACCACCCCCACCCCACAAATAATAAAGTCTTTTAGGTATTTAATGTCAATTTAGTAGTCATCCAAAATGAATAATAAATATTGTCCTCTCATTTATCTTGTGGCTTGGTTCTATATTTTGACACTCTTTCATCTTTACTGCATTCAGAACAATATTACAAAATTAATTCTTTACAGAGACCAACAAAAGTAGTATAACATAATCGATTATGTAAATTCTCTTACTTCAGACTGGGCAAGCAGGTAGCTAGGAGAGAGAGGCAAAGCAGAGTCAACAGCACATATGATACCCAGACGAGAGAAGATGTCCAGTAAAACTTCATACCGTGCTTCATTCGATTTTTTCAGTTCAGCAAACTCATTAGAATTAGTGGTCTTGTCTGTTGTTGGATCAAGGTCTAAACGAACCTGCCAAAAAAGAACAGCATTCAAGAAAAATATAAATTGCTGACAAAGAAATAATGAAAAAATAAGTGTCTATTGACACAGCTCTGGAACTATAAAAATATACTTTATAAAAGTTCAAGTAACAGGCAGTTTCTTAGAATAGCTCCCCGGGGCATTTACTTTTCCCTTCAATAAATGTTCCCTAATCAATGGAAAACTAATGGAAGCCACATCATTCTCAACACATTCTATTAATGTTCTACTCCAGTAGAAATAAACGGGTTGGGATCCATTAGTCTTTATGATCACGCGATAACACTTTCTGATGGTAATTATGTGACATTTATAGTAAAATTATGGGGCTTTTATTTGAATATTTACGCATCCATTTTACATACAAATAAAACGCCTCCCTTGAATAAACACCCCCCTCAAAAACCCTTCTCAACAATAATGCCCTGGTGTGTATATTTTAATAAATCCCGTGTTTGAATTAATAGCTTGACAAACCTGACATAAAACTGCTATTCCTTCTCCTTTAGATCTAACTTCCAGAATAATTGGTTGACTATTGCATCTTGCAATTATTGTGAAATTTCTGTAATTTCGCTCTGTATCTTGATTAACATTAAAAGAATAGTCTCTGTGCAGGCTTTTTAAATATGTTGTACTCCCAGATACAGCATTATAATATTCAACATCAACAACAGACGTATGCCATGTTTGTTTCGAAAGCTTAACACAGTCCGGAGCACAGAGTCTAGAAGAAAAGCTTAAGACTTTGCCTCCAGTTGCCAAAAAAGACTTCAATTTCTCAGTTACTTTGGCAGATTTATTCATTTCAAGTTCAGAAGACAGGACAATGAGGGCAGTATTGCCAACCCAAGGGTGGTTTAGAATCTGGGTTTTTGTTAAGTGGTATATGACATAGTGATCAGGGTGGAGACATTTTTGTAGCATTTGCTTCACCATCAGATAATGGCCTGGTTCTTGTTCATCGCTGTCTGTATAAACCAGCACATTTGGTATTCTATGAGCATCCGGCCTGGAATCATTGCAACTTGGTTGTACGTTTTTCATCAGCAAGGAGCTGGTAGAAGTTTTTCGGTCCATATCCTGTTCAGACACTACATCATGAATTTGGTGACGATTCTGAACGCTTGGTGAGCTTATCTGATTTTCTGAAGCATTTATTGGCTTGGCAGGTGTGTGGAAGGAAGTTTTACGCGAAAGAAGGCTATTTGCCTTGCCACTAATTCCGACGGCTGTAAAATGAAATAATAAATTCAATATCATTACATTTGCAACAAAATTCTCAATTCCATTAAGCGATATACTGTATTTGATAACCTAAATCTTTAAAAATGGTAAATCAGTTTCACTGTAACATAAACAATGTAAAAGCCAAAAGATCACTTAATTAAAGAAGCCACAAAATTATCGGTAAGTGGAAACTCAACGCAATCAAGTGACAAATGTTGAAGCCACACAAATAGAAAAAGCTTGTAAATACCAAGTGCTTGCGTATATATAATATCATTGAGTGACACATAATAATACTGTATCGATACTTATTATCAAAACAATCATTAGAAATCAATTATCCTACTGTTTACTAAATGTATTAATATATAAATGTTCCCAAGCAAACCTTATTTCTTTTAAAACTACACTTTTTAAATATTTTATAGATCAAATGAATGTAAAATTTTTCTTCTTTATATGTACTTTTATATATTTTATTATATTCTTATTGGCCAGGTGTTTAGAGATGACCACTTGATGTGCTGGGCTTTAGCCGATGTCATCTCTAGTCAGGCCCCCGTCAATATATATTTAAATTTATTGTGACGAATATTTAATAACCAAATAAATCTTTTTATATTCAGTTTTAAGTGTGGTATAAATCAGTTGCTTGTATTGTTGATCATTACTGTTTGAAATTTAATTTTTTATGCTAAATAAAAATATACAGTAAACATGCTACTGCAGGGAACTCACTGGCTATGTGTTCTACCAACAATCCATCATCAAGCTCCAGGACGCCATCAAGAAAGGCTATTCCCGTTTTAGCACACTGCGCCACGCTAGCTTTCACAACAATACCGAATGGCTCCCCGGACTTCCAGGCAATTGGCGTCGTCAACCGTGATAACTTAACCGCTTTCTCTGCTGGCACCTTTCTGAGGTAGACTCGGCCATACTTATCTTTGTATGGAGGTGTGGCTTCAATCAATAAAAACATATCTGATTGGTCGGTCAATTTGAGTGATGGGTTATCCTCTTGTAGGATTGGTGTTTTTGAGCCAATAAATAGTGTCCAGTCCTGTGATAAGTTGACATATTGCTGGAAGAGTAAATGCAACAATTTTGAAACATGGAATTTTTTTAATGATTTCCAAAGCTCTGTTAATAATATCGGTTTTAAATACAAATACATGTGATTTGCCCATATATAGGCATAATATGACATCCTCATATAAAGGAAAATCCCAGATATTTCATAGTGTAGGGCTTCCTTGAAAAGCAGTGCTAGTCACTGAATGGATACCCCCTGGTTAGAAAGCTTAAATAAATAAATAAGCAAATTTTTTACAATTTCATCCCAGAATACGTGTTTGCCTGAATGATCAAATTCAGTGCATGTCTAGTTTTAACTTCTTGTGAGTACATAATCTAGAAACTATAGATGTGTCTCAGGCCTACCTTTGGTGAAATTTCTAGCACCTGTTTGCTTCCCTTTTCCATAACTGTCAGTGCAGCAATAGACTCTAATCCGTCATCACAAAACTGTGATATGCTCAATGCTCCCGGTTTCAGAATTCTTGGCATTCTGCCAAGAGACTGGCTCAGAAGGACTCGCTGAAAGAGTAGACTGGCTTTGGGGACTTTGGTAGACAACATGGCGATCAGTGTGTCCAATTGACTTTTTTTAAGATGGTTTGTCACATAAGTCAAGTAAATGTAACAAATAGTAATCAACATTGTTCTGCCCGACTACCTGCAGTAAGAGATTTTTCAAAGGAATGACATCACAATACTATTGTTTAGAAATCAGTAGATAATAATATTAGTATTAATCATATCCTTTATTTTTACACAGATACAGTACACTTGATTCCGCTAAGGGTGTTCTTCGTCAAGGCTGTGCAAGGTCATATGTAAAGTAACAAAATATAAGGAAAATAAAAATGTCAAAATAATAACCACATTTAAACAAATGGTAAACAAAGTAGCAAAAATAAAAAGGGGAAAAATAATAATTACAATAATGTAAGGATAAAAACAAAATAAGACAAAAATAATCCTGCCCTGTTTCAGGGACGTATCCAGGGGGGGAGCCGTGGGAGCTGCGGCTCCCCCCCTTTGTACACAGTGTTAAAATTTTAAAGCTTATTCTTCA